CGCCCCCCGGGTGGTCAGTGTGCTCCCACGGGGAGTGCTATTCAGCCAGAAGCTGGGCTCACGGCTGGCAAGCGCAGCAGCGGTGGCAGGAGCCTCTCCTTCCTCTGCGGCAGCGCTAAGGATGACCGACTGACGGCTAAGGCCTGCTCCCTGTGGCTTAGGCCCTAAGCCAGCGGTTCTCAACCTGTGGGTCGCGACCCCTGAAAATGCATCCTGCATATCAGATATTTCCATTACGATTCATAACAGTAGCAAAATTACAGTTATGAAGTAGCAACAAAAATAATTTTATGGTTGGGGGTCACCACAACATGAGGAACTGTATTAAAGGGTCACGGCATCAGGAAGGTTGAGATCCACACCCATCAGACATCCCCCGAGAGCTCCTGGACTGTGAGAGGGAGCAGGCCAGGCTGAGGGTCCAGTCCCCCCCCCCCCCCCCCCCCCGCCTGAGTGGATGAATTTTGTGCAATGGGCCTCTAGTAGATTATAATGTATAATGTATTGTTGGCTAGACATGTGGTGTTCAGTTCTATTATTTTACAAAATAGGTATTTATGTTTTGAATTGTTAAAAATCTTGATACTTTTCAAATAATGCAGTTTTCCAAGGGAAATGTCTTAAGGCAAAGATTAAATTGAATTCCAGAGTCCTTACTACATTGTATAGGCCTCTTATTTCATTCTTTCAGAATTTGAAATAACTGTCAGAATTGATTGACTCCATGTTTAACTTATGCTGCAGATAGTAGAAGAACTTAAATCTCAGTTCAGTCTCTTACTGTTTTTCTTCTTCATTTCTCTCATCCACACAAACTCTTCCATGAGCTTTGGCTGTTGCTGCCTTTCTTTTTACAGCTTCATGGTGAGATGGTATTAAGCAGTTCAAGGCTGCTGCTCGTACAAGTATGGGCTTCGAAGAGTTGCTTTAAAAAGGTATTATTTGACAGTTGAAGTACATTCTTTTATAGAAAATTTTATACAGAAAATTATTGATAAAGGCAGTATGAAAGATGTTTGACTTTTTTTCTTTCTGATCACAACAAAAATTTTTTAACCAAACTATGCACAAACCTCAGCAAATAGTTCTAAGTTGTTTTGGTTTCATGTACTTTTAGATGCTGCTGTTAATTCTGGAGAACTGTGGTTTGTGAACTTTTACTCTGCAGGATGTTCACACTGTCATGATTTAGCTCCCACAGTACGTATTTTTTACATCCTGATTATTAAAGTTTTATTATTTCTAATTTATCTGTTATTTGAGTTTTTTAATATATTGGGATTTTCCTATTAACAGCAATTATAGCTATCAGTAATAATTATCTATTTTCACATATTTATGGTTTTATTTGCTAAAAATAGTCTTTAAGTATGTATAGCTTGAAGAATGTTCAAGGGAAGTGTTCAGAGAAATACTTATGTTTCCTTTTTTCTCATAGTGGAGAGACTTTGCTAAAGAAGTGGATGGATTACTTCGAATTGGAGCCGTTAACTGTGGCGATGATAGAATGCTTTGCCGAATGAAAGGAGTGAACAGTTATCCCAGCCTCTTCATATTTAGGTCTGGAATGGTAAGGGATAAAGTTAGCAGTTTTTAAATTTGGGGAACTTTATGATAAAGAAAATACTAGAGAAAACACAAGATGAGTATTTGTAGAATGCTTTGGTATTTACGTTTTACTTGAGGTACTAACTCATCTCTAGTCATAATAAACATTTTTAGTATTACGAATACTTTTAGATGCCTTTACAGTTCACCTTGGAATAATAACATAGAGGTTAGTGGCGCCTATAGAAAAATGCATAGCCCTGCCACTGTGGCTCAGTGGTTGAGTGTCGACCTATGAACTAGAGGTCATGGTTTGATTCCTGGTTAGGGCACATGCCCATCCCCAGTAGGAGATGTGCAGGAGGCAGCTAGTCAGTGATTCTCATCATTGATGTTTCTCTCTCCCTCTCCCTTCCTCTCTGATACCAATAAAAAAAAAAATTTGTTTTAAATGCGTGTAACTCAAGTGAGCACTCTGCATGCACGGATTCCCAATCTCCAATTGACCCTTCACAGTAGTTTGAACTGCAGACAGTTAAAAACTAAGTGGACCAATTGAAAAATTCCAAGTATAAGTGGACCCGTGCAGTTCAACCCACATCATTCAGTGGTCAAATGATGACTTTCAAAATTAAATGATTGCCAATTTCTGTTTCTATCTTAAAGAACATAGTATAACCAATATGCGCATATTCTACTTTATAGATTACAAAGTATTTTCAGGTATTGTCTCATTGAAGATAAAATTTTGATGTCCCTTTTTTCCCAGTTTTAAGTGATTAAACTGAAACAAAAATTATAAATAGTATTATTAAAATGTCTTCCTTGAAATCTATACAGTCAAGATTTTCAGTATATCATTTGGAAATACATTATACATTTAAGAGGCAGATCTTACTGTATTTTTCAAAATAATATAGATTCAAAAGTATTATTTTTAGTGGTGTTTTTAAAAGAAAAAGTAAAATATGTTTCCCTTTTTATTAAAAAACCAATAGGCTGCAGTGAAATACCATGGTGACAGATCAAAGGACAGTTTGGTGAGCTTCGCCATGCAGCATGTCAGAAGCTCAGTGACAGAACTGTGGGCAGGTAATTTTATTTTCTTAATTTGCTTGATTTTTAAGGCTCCTTTGAAATTTATATTTTGTTTTTCAGTGGCAGTATTAATATTTTGGTCATCATATTGAAATTTTAAAATACTTTTTTGATGCTTTTTGAAGGGAATTGTGTCTTTTGTTCTGACCACTACTAAATAGTAGGCATTTAACAAATGAATTATATGTGTACAGAAACAAAACAATTAAAATATGGGAAATAGATATGAGGTGGGGCTAGAGGAAAAGGCAAATTTCAAAGTGCAACTAAATATTTAGCAAACCAAGTGTTTTATTGCTTTCATAAGTATACTATATCTGGCAGTAAATTCATGCCTATCCAGTTTAATTTTAAAGTTTAAAAACTCTTCTGATATTAGGCTTTTCATTCTTTAATGTCTTTAGATGGGCTATTTTAACTACTCTGTATTACCCATGAAATGATGATGTTCACATCTAAAGGGTATTCATTGAATACCATTTATTGTCTCTGAAACTATGGCTGTAGTAATAAAATAAATAGCCCTTGCCTTCAAGGCTACTGCTTGTACATTTCTTATTTTAGCAAGAGATACTAGTAAACCATTAAAATTCAGCATAGTAACTATTATGGTAAAGGTAAGCTTATGGAAGCATGAAGGATAAGGAAACTCAGGTAGGGAATGGGAAAAGGTTAGTAAATACTTCTGGAATGAGGTCAGACCCAATCTGTCATGAAAATGAAGAGGAAGCCTTACAGGCTCATTGTGTATTTGGGGGACTGGCAGTATTTCATGACTCTAACAGAAGGATATGTAATGCATTAGTGGCTTGGGGAGAAATATGGCCGGCTGCAAGGGTAGATCTTACCAATTTGAGTTTCCTAATGAAATAATGAATTTAGATTTTATGTGATGGGGAAAAAAATGGAGAGCTGGTGAATGAATTTTACACACACAAAAGGATTTTTAGAAATTCCTGACTACTCAGAGTGGATTAGAAGAGGGTGAAATTAGGAGAGAGAGAGAAAAAATTTAGAGAACTGTTTTCATTATCAAGTAACAAGTGATCAGAAATTTGCTTTATTTTCTTTTAAGGAAATTTTGTTAACGCAATACAAACTGCTTTTGCCTCTGGTATTGGCTGGCTGATAACATTCTGTTCCGAAGGAGGAGGTAATTTATTCATTATTTTGTTATGAAGAGACCATGACATATAATTTTTAAATGACAATCTTTTTTACTTTTTCAGCTTTATTAAGATATAATTAAATAGCATTGTGTAACTTGAAGGGGTCAACATGTTGATTTCATACTCTTCCAAAATGATTACCACCATAGCATTAGCTACCATCTCCATCCTGTCAAATAATTGCCATTTCTTTTTTGTAGTGAGAACATTTAAGATGTACTCTCTTAGCAACTTTTAAGCATATAATATACTATTATTAGCTATAATCACTATATGTTGTACATTAGATCCCCAGGACTTGCTAATCTTTTTTTTTTAATATATTTTATTGATTTTTTACAGAGAGGAAGGGAGAGAGATAGAGAGTCAGAAACATCGATGAGAGAGAAACATCGATCAGCTGCCTCCTGCACATCTCCCACTGGGGATGTGCCCGCAACCAAGGTACATGCCCTTGACCAGAATCGAACCTGGGACCCTTCAGTCTGCAGGCGGATGCTCTATCCACTAGCTAAGGACTTGCTAATCTTATAACTGGAAGTATGTATCCTTAGACTAGGTGACCATCTTGAGTATGCTACTATAATTGATTGTTCAGTACTCCAAACTACAATTTATATACAAGGTTATAACTTTTTACTTAATAAATATTTTTCTTTCTATTATTTTTCACATAGGAGGTTTTAAAATTGTTAATTTTTTAAAGTATCGTTTATGGTTTCTGTTCAGTGGGCAAGTTTTTCAGCCTAATTATATTTACAGTAAATGGTATGTTCAGATAGTCACAGATGTACATATTTATCAGTTTGCAAAAACAGTCATTTACAGATACAGTCCTCCCAAAATAATTTTTGGAGTTATTGACATTGCCTCATACTTACGCATATAAATATGTATACATGTTTACCTCAAAACATTATATATTTGAAGATGACAACTTTCTATTTCTAGGAACCTTTCCCTCAGTAGGTTAAGTTGAAAATACCCTACCTGTCAAACCACGAACTATAAACTGTATTTAAGCAATGTGATTGGTTACAAATTGGTCCCACTATTACAGAATATTCTAATTCAGCACAGTTGGCATGGCTCAGTGGGAGCATCGACTTATGAACCAGGAGGTCACAGTTCAATTCTGGGTCAGGGCACATGCCTAGGTTGCTGGCTCGATCCCCAGTAGGGGATATGCAGGAGGCAGCCAATCAATCTCTCATCATTGATGTTCCTATCTCTTTCTCCCTCTCCCTTTCTCTCTGGAATCAATAAAAATATTTTAAAAGAAAAAAATATTCTAATTCATTAATATCTTTTCATATGTTTAATCCCAACATGAATCTTTTCCTGAAACTTCACCTCACAGCCTTTATGCTGCCATGTTGAGGAGATATTGCCTTGAAAATAAAATCACCCTTAAATTTAATCTATCCTTGAGGAGTTTATTCATTTTGGCCTAATGCACAAATTTTTGTCCATTTACACATGAAAAAACTTTTGAAACTAGAGATTTTACATATCTCTCTAGGCTCTGTGATGCTACAGCTCCCTTTCTTCAAAGTCATCTCATTTAGTGTTAGTATTCATATTTACAGAACTTTTATAAAAATAATGACGAGGCTATTTTATCTTATTTTAAGGATCTTTTGCATATTTTTATCAAAAAAAATTCATTACATGTTATTTCTCCAAAATTGTGAGATAGCTTAGGTAAAGGGGATTATTGATCAGAGAAATTTGAGAGTAAGATCCTAAAGGAATGCTTGAGAGAAAATTACTCGTTTTCTCTTTAGCTGGAAATCCTGGGATTCTAAGGGGAAGGAATAAAAGAATTAGTGAGTGAGACAGGTAATGTGTTGTGTGTGGAGAATGAGACTTTGACCACAGTAGTTACCTAGTAAATAAAGATTTCAGTATTTACCAGTAGAGCTCAAATAATTGTCTTAGAATCAGCATGACAGCTTCGTGAAAAGGCAAATGAAAGTATACACTCAGTAGAACTAAAAGTGCTTGCTATTTTTTCCTTCCAGATTGTTTGACTTCACAGACACGTCTCAGGCTTAGTGGCATGTTGGTAAGCATCAATTATTTTGTAAGACTACTAGCATATAGCCATGTAAAAAAAAAAACACAAAAAAACACCACACACATACACACATTTAAAAAAAGATTTCAGATATTGTCTTTGGTAGTTTTTTGAACATTTAACTCGCTTATTTGTAATCTTTCTTATTTTCTGATAAATGTAGTCATAGTTGTAGGTTTCTAATAATGAACTGTGTTCAGTAAATTTTGGCATATGGTGCTTTCATTGTCATTCACTGCTAAGTATTCTTTAATTTAATTATGAAGTCCTTTTTAACTAAAGAGTTATATATTAGTGTTTTTGTCATTTCCAAACTTTATTGTTTTGTTTGTTATTTTTGTTATTTAGTTAGCTCTCATCATATAGTGGTTGGGGAGTAGTCTTTGTTTTTGATACTTTGTTGTTGAAGCTCCCTTTGGGGGGAAACTTGGTCTTCCACTTGCAACAGGCCCTATGTTTTCATTGTTGTTTCTTTCTATTTTAGGATGGTCTTGTTAATGTAGGATGGATGGACTGTGCCACTCAGGCCAACCTTTGTACAAGTTTGGATATAACAACAAGTTCTACTGCCTATTTTCCTCCTGGAGCCACTTTAAATAACAAAGAGAAAAGCAATGTTTTGGTATGAATCATTTTCATTTCTTTGAATGCACACACTTAAATATGTTTTTTTTAATCAAAGAGTAAGAAAATGAATCAGTTTATATCATCTGAATGTGGAACATTTAATAATCTGGAACAAATTTAATTTCTGGGATTCTGTTTAATACATTATTCAGTTTGTAAAGTCTGCTATAAGAATTATTTTTAACTGGCATAAACTTATACTTTCGAACCTCAAAGGTATAGAATACATTTTTAGGTTAAATGAGTTTCATTAGTTTCCATTTATTTGTTTATTTTCTGATGTTAAAATACAGATCATTGGTCAGTTTGACTGGAACCCGCTATCTATTTTTTTTTAAGCACCCTGTTAGATTCTGGTATAAACTCAGTGTGGAGATCTGCTGGTATGGTTCATCTCCCTAATTTTAGGAATGAGGAAACTGAGTGTCAAGCTAGTTATCAAGGAGTTGGGATAAACAGTGGGATATCAGACAAGTTTCTAAGGAACTGCAAAAGAAAAGAAAGACTCTAAGAAGAACAAACTTCCTTTAGTTTTCTTTTCTGTAAAATTTTTTTTATGTTGATAAACAGACATATTCATTACAGAAATTCATATATAGTAAAGAAATGCTTAAAGGAAGATGCAAAATTTACTGAAACCGAATCACCAGTAGACCAGCACCACCATATTTTGGTAAATATCCTTCCAGAACTCTGCGTAGGTGTGCATACTATTAGGACTTGGTGCTGATGACTCTTCGGTTTTATCTGTGGCCTAGGTCTCTGCCCTCCACTCCAGACTGCATTCTACTACCTATTCAACATCCCTCCTGGGATACTAATTGAGGTCTCAAACTTGGATATCTGCAACTGTACTCCTGATAGTCCATACTAAATCTGCTCTACTCACAGTTTTCCCCATCTCAGGTGATGAAATATAAATGTAATATACATGCCATGCACACAAACAGAGGTGGGCAAAAGTAGGTTTACAGTTGTAATGCAAATAATATAAATACCAAATAATAGAAGAGTAAACTATGTTTTGCATAGTCACAACTGTAAACCTAGTTTTGCCCACCCCTGTGTATATATAATCATTATCAACAACCCCTGAATAGTAGTAATTCATTGGCTAAAGGTGACATACTTAGATTAATCTTTCCTCTCTTAATAGATATTTAAGTTGTTTCTACTTTTGATGATTATAAGCAGTGTGATGAACAATCTTATTCATCTTTTTTGTTCTTCTTCAATCATCTGTTTAGAATGAGATAGCTGCGGCAAGTTTAATTCCATTCGTGTTGCCAAACTGCCCTACAGAAATTTGTTTAACTCTGTGCCATCAGTTCATGACATTTGCCTATACCCTGGCCAACAGTTAATATAGGGTCTTACCTTCCATCACATGCAACTTCATATTTTAGTGAGCCTTTGGGATTTTTTATATAAACTGCAAGCTCAGAATCAATCTTAGAAAACATAAATGAGTCATACTGGAAATGTAATAACCAGGAGTGATGGATTAAAATCCTTATCCCTCCTAAAAGCATTTACGTTTTAAAAAATATAAGACACTATGCCAGCTAAATATGCCTGGAAGGTGAAATTTAGAGACTGGACAGTTTCCTTTTATATATACAACTACCAAGTTTTAACCGAGACAGACAGGTTTATAATGAGTTTCTAGTGTATTCTTCACTTATATATTTACTAGAGGCCCACTGCATGAAATTCGTGCCTGGGTAGGGTCCCTAATAGCTGCCAGCCGCTGGTTGGGGCCTTCCTTCATTCTGCGCCGCCCCCTGGTGGTCCACGCATGTCATGGCAAGCGATGGAACTCCCAGTCGGTCGAACTCCAAAGGGGACACTTTGCATATTAGGCTTTTATATATATGCTAGAGGTCTAGTGCATAAAATTAGTGCATGGGGTGGGGGGGTCCCCTCAGCCCAGCCTGCACCCTCTCCAATCTAGGATCCCTCTTGCAATCCGGGACTGCTGGCTCCTAACCACTCTCGTGCTTGCCTGATCACCCCTAACCCCTCTGCCTGCCTGCCTGATTGCCCCTAACTGCCTCTGCCTGCCAGCCTCATCGCCCCTACCTTGCCCCCCTGCCGGCCTCATCGCCCCTAACCGCCTCTGCCTCGGCCCCCGGCCTAAGCTGCAGTCTGGCCTACCTCTGCAGGAGGCAACCTGGGGGATCAGGGGAAGGCATTGCCCTAATTACCCGCTGCTGCTGCTCTGCCGGCCTGAGCCTGGGCCCTTCGCAGCCGTGCCTTGGCCCTCACAGCTACTGCGGTTTTGTCTGGAAGGTTGTCCAGAAGACATCTGCCCTAATTAGCATATTACCCTTTTACTGGTATAGACTTAGGGGCCCAGTGCATGAATTTATGCACCTTGAAAGGAACTGTGGGCCACCAG